CCCCGCCGCAAGGATTCCAGCAGACAAATCAAATTGCATTTGTTCCGCTTGCTCAATGTTCTATGTCGTATAAGCACGATGTCGTCGGCAAAGCGGAGATGATGTAAATAGCGGTCGTCAACCTTAACCCTCATGCCTTAACATTCCATATGAATTATAATGTGCTCGAGAGTGGCACTGAGAAGGTTAGGCAAAGTGATATCGCACCCAAAAACCAGGCAATCAGCCTGCCAGGGCGTGAACCCAGGCAGGCTGATTGGGCGATAGTTGCCAGTGTGATCTTAGTTTCTCTTCTCATACATTAACACAGTCTTTCTTGTTTTCCACGAAATGGGCGCTGTGCATCCCGGCAGATACAGCGGAAAGAGCCAAGCCAAAAGTATCAACGATGACTGGCGCTCTTGATATGTACTGATATATTGGATCCTATCGGGGAGGGGCGCCGTGCAATTCTTTCACGGCATGGCGAATTTCGAAAAGGATAAGAGGAAGGTCGAAATATTCGCCTTGCCGAAGATGGTAGGTAGGCAGGTAGACGGGTCTGTTCAAGAGATGAAAGTAGAAGCTATGACCTCTTCTATTGCTCTCCGAAATGCAGTAACTGTTCCTTCAAGTTGCAAGACGGAAAGCCATCTTGGTATTATGAGCGATGTAGCTCCTGCGAGCTTTGCGAACGCTCTGTCTAACCTCAGTGCCTTTACCCAGAACTGCTGCCCTTCTCTCTCCGATCTTTCTTTATCGCTTCTCCGCATAGCTTCGCAAATTCGGATGTACGCTTGTTATTGTTTGCAGCTCTTGCGCGATTCCATGCTGCCGTATTAGCTTTAGCTCAAGAGTATTCAAGGAAAGACGTTTTTTAGCGTCTTGTAGTCTCTTTCCTTTCTTGCACTATCGTGAAAATGCCATTTGTAATCCTCGCCGATGTTGTCGCTAAGGGAATCTTCAAACTCGCAAGTGAAGCAAGTGATCTTAGTTGAAAACAGTCTTGGGCTTCGTTTGCTGGACTTCGCAGCTCTCTCCACGCAATGAAAAACGGAATCTAGCACGGAGGAGACGATGGTCTAACCTTGTCTAGAATATAGGGACGAGAGCGACGTAAATTAGACCAAACTTCCGACTGAAAGTGAAGTGACCTATTTCATCATGGGACCGTCCACCGAATGACTCTCATGTCCATCGCAAATGAGAGGACTCCCGAAACTGTATTGACCATAAATAAAGTTTGTCGACATGTTAAAGCAGGTATAAAGTACCGCCTTCCACCCTGCTCATTCCATTCCGTTCCGTGAGTCCCAGTGTGGGTTTTTCAGCCGTTTTTGTGGGGTCATTCGATTGAAATCTCCAACGATGGCCTTGAAAAAATGTGGTCACCTCTGTATACCCTTTCTAGACCCGTATTAGCTTCAGCTTTTCTTTTTCGTAGCCCGATGTTGTTACCTAGACAACGGAGGTTGTCAAATCTGGGATTGTCTTCTCGATCGCAAATGTCCGATTCGTGTTGTCAAGTTTTCGCATAAATCGATGTTTACGGCCAAGTTTGTGTTGACGAGGGCACCTACTCCGACGACGCCTCTGCTGTCGTATGTTTCAGGTAACATTACTTCTCCAGTTTAAAAATGGCTTCCAATGGACGGTGTCTTCTCATCTCGGTCAGTCCAATGGGGTCGTACTTGGTCTTCCTGTATTGCATCACCAGATCTTTGATACACGCTTCCAATGCAAGAATTCTACATTGAAAGTACAGATCGCCATCTTGTTCGTTCTCCCTTTAGGCTCTGAGATTGATGGTTCTGAGATTTAAGCAGCCTCTCCCGAGCGGTCCTACCCGGCACTGCCGTATTGGAGGCGCCCTCAGGTTCAAGGAAATGAGGTCCATTCATATTACTGTTTTATGTATGGGTACCTACGAGCAGCTTGCCAGAGCCTGGAGGTACCCATATGAAAAACGGTAATATGAAAACCTATGTAAAAAACAGCTGGGGGCTGGTTTTACTTTGAGAAGCTAGCCAGGCCATTTCGGAGTGGACGAGTGGCTTCATTTTCGAAGGCAGCCACGAATCGCCTCTCAGATGCTTCTTCAGGGTCGATTCGTGGGTGTGGACAATAAAGATTTATAAGTACTGATCAAATCTGCCGATTAATCTAAGAAGATAAGAAACCGACATTTTGATTCTTTTGTTATGTAAGTCGGGATCGTAGAGTAGATTAGGATAATGTGGGTGATGAGTGGTGAAGTGGGCTTCTCGAGACTAGCTCTTCAGTAAAAAGAAGCTTTGAATAATTTTCTGTCATTGGCACTCACTAATTTCTTCTGTATTTCTGTTATTTCTAATTTCTAATATCAATGATTGCCGAGGTGACCCGACCATCAATAATCCTAGAATCTCCGGTGGTCTGTACTCATGAAGATATGGGCATGGTACCAATCTCCCAGCCTCCCATCTCTCGGGGTACTACTATTTCTGAGGATCACGCTGCCAGAAAAGCTCTTCGAGTAGTCGAAAAGCTGCAGTAGCCATTCATCTGAGCGATATCGCATGTCATTTTAATCGACTCTTATCGCTCATCCTTTACAATGCAAACCTTCTTAGCGGTGCGAAACGTATTCCTAACAACCGCTCGCTTTATGTAAAAAGGTTGAGCTGAGTGGTAATGGACGATGATATTTCATTGCTGGATTTCCTGTGCCACTTCGTAACAATCATATCGCCTTGTGCCCTCACTTGAACGTTCACGAGAGGGAGCAAATTTCTCCCGTGTCGACTTAATGTGCTCTGGTTGTGAGTTCAGCAGGCCGAAACACACATCTATTTCTTCCTGTGTCGCACAAACTATGAAGCAGTCGTCTATATACCTGCGCAAAGTAAGGGCAGGTGTTCAAGTACAGACGCTCCAATCTTGCCCATAAATGCTATAGCCAAAAGCCAATGTCAATCTATGCCAAACTTTGCCATAGCCAAGCCTCTAGTTTGAGCGATATACCTCCCAGCCCACTTGAAAATTTTACAACTGAGGCACTTCTTTACTAGTGTCATCAGTTGGATATAGACAGCTCTCGCATACTAATATCGCGTTAGTGCTGGTCAAGAAGCTCGAATATGGCTTCCATAGCAGACCCACTGCTGACATTTGTATAGAGAGCTCCTACTTCAAGGGATTCCATAACGCACGAACCACTGGGGTGCAGTGCGTCAAGACGATCAAAAATATTTGAGCGTTAATGAGACGGTAAAGAATGAAGATCAGAAGCTGATTTAGAATGATATTAAGAAACCATGCGATTCGGTCAGTAGGGCCACCGACGCAGCCTATTATAGGGCGGACTTTTANGGAAGTGAGATTGATTGAAGCCATGTCGTCTGCATCTAAGAACTTGTGTGTCTTTATGAACAGATACCGAACTGGACAACAAGGCGACTCGAGTTTGAGCCTGTCATCAAGGTTGGACTCAATCCTGCTGCTGTGTTACTGAAACCCACATCTGGCTCAGTCTCGAAACTATAATACATTTGGAATTCCTTCGCAGAAGCTCGGCGGTAGAGAGAGGTCTCTCCCAGATAGTGTTCTATTATTCCACAGTCAAGTTGTCTGGGAATCTTTACAGCCTCTCCTCCTTTGTCAGTGACAGACAACTTTATGGCTTGAGACTTTATTAAGCCTAGAAGTTCTTTGAAAACAAGTGCTTGATCTCGTGAAATGTGATTGTTCTCGTGAGGGATGTGATTGTTTTATGGTTTGAAATGTAAAAACTAGTCGACAGTTTAGCAGCAAATGAGTGCTGACCTGTCCTGTCGAAATTTGGATCTATCCTCATTTACCATGCTCAGTAATAAAGGCACAGCTCACGACAATTTTGATGTTCCTGTCTTTATTCGAGAAACTGAAGCATAGGTTAGGAATAATTCATCGGAAGTAAAGACAGCAAGAAAAATCGCCGATTTCGAGAAAAATATGGCCTCTCAAAAGTAGGGGAAGGGGTTGGACGAGATTGCCATGATGAAAATAACATGGAACGGTTATTCGGACAAGATTTCAGTAGCCGAGCACATCAAGCCAGAACTGTACAGAACTGCCTTTCACTGTTGCTATGGGTCATGACAAGTTGTTTGAACTTCCTACACGGTTCCCTGGCGATTAGTGCAGCCTCTACGATGCCTCTGAAGCTCTTCCAAGGATCTACATGGGGCAATCTTTGAGCTTTTATAACTCCCTAAGCAGGCCGTCTTCCGATCTAATAGCGCCAGACATGATATACGAGGGTACCTTAAAGTCATTCTGTGAGGAAATCTCAGAAACCATTTTTATCGTGAAGTGTGCCTTCAAGACAACTGTTTCATTGCTTTATGGCTGTAAGGAAGCGCCATGCATAATTTACGAAATTTGCGATCAGCATACTTTCTTTGCACATTTCCCGATTGTTTCATCAAGATCAACTCCCTCGCATGTATACCTTTTGAGCAATTTCTCAAGTGTGTTTTTAAGGGCTTTAAGTGGAAAACAAAGGAAAGTTTTATAATGCATGCGCAGATAATTCTGTCTTATGATAGAGCAATAAGCGCGAACAATATTACTAATGAGACGCTTTCCTGGATGGATGAATACCAGGAAGTCGAGAAAACTCGGCAAGCAAACCAATCTCGCATCTGACAAGGTAGAGCACTTCGTGTGCCTTACGGGGGCGCTTAATGCTATGCGGACAGAGGCGTGCTTCACCTGCAACTATTTCCAAACAAATTTTGAAGCTCTTAACTTTTTTGGAGGAGTTATTAAGCAGTTTTACCTTTTGAATTGTATATGTCATTCTTTGAAGAGTTGAAATCTTTCTTGGTAAGAAAAAAGTTGGTAATAGATCCACCAGGGGAAAACATACGAGGTCTCAATAGCCAAAACTATCTCTTGAGATGCTGAATTTGAAATTCAGCCAAGAAACAGCTATTTATCAGGTTTTGTGGCACCAAGGAAGGGATTACTACTGGGTCCTTGAAATTCGCTTAAGACGAATGTTATTTATTACTACATCTTTGCTTTTCACTTCTGAAGCAGAGTTGTCAGGTAAGGTAGTCGAATCTTGATCTCTGCATTCGCTTAATACCACAAGTGCAGAGGGCTGCATTGACTAATCACTTATATGCTTGATGTAGTGCTGGCCCACGTTGTTGAACTCTCTCAAAAGACCGACGTGAGATCCAGGGCCCTCAGAAAATCCCGGAAATTTGGAACACTGGCAGCAAATAATTACTCCTTACAACAACCGCGTGAAGGAAGGACGAAAAGATAACAAGAAAAAGGTTTGTGGATGGACTCCTTCGCGTTGGCTGATTGATTCTTGGGAAATCACTTCGAACGCATACGTTATCAGTGAATCTATCGCGTATAAAAACTACACTCTCCTCCATAGTTGGAGTGTCATAATCAGTGCCATTCATTGATGTTTTCACTTCTTATCCACTCCTAGACCTCGGTTGCGGTTGTTCCCCCACTCGGCTTACGCTGTAGTGCAGGGAGCGAGATGTTTGGAAGCTGCTGAGCGGAGCACTTCAATGTCCATCCCTCCCGCTGTTAACATGAATGCTGGCCAGTTTCTCGAGCAGGCAGTCGTCCAACCGCTTGGTCACTGCCCCTTAAACTCTACTAACTGTATCCACAGTTTGAAATCCCACATGAATGATGATGTATTCAAATCACACTATATGTCGTGTCAGCTGTCGTTTGCGTGCCTCTGACACCTCCTGTTTCCCACTGATTACTTGGCTGGTGTTTATTTTCACTGTTTAGTCCGTACTGGTTTATCCCATTGGGTGGATTCTGAAAAGTCTTCGAAATACTGTATTTACGCTTTGTTCTCGATTTTTGAATTTTTCTAAAACATCGTCTAGCAGTTCAGGTCCTCCCTATTCTGCTCAGCAGCTCTGTGTCTTCAATTCACGTGGATTACTTTTATTCCATTTTCACATCCACCTTGCTTAAGCTTGTCAGAAGTCATTCCCAACAACCATATCGTCTTGAGTGATTTGTTTCCGGTCCTGATGGTTTTCCTCACTCTACAGGTGCCCGCCTTTTCACTCATCCCAGAGAGACGCTGCTCACCCACTGCCATGTAGTCGTATAACCCTTATCAATGAAATGAGTTAGCATTGATAGCTAGGATGAGGTGATATAACGGTGTCTTCTCACCTATAGAGTCTGCCAATTGAATCTTGTCGTAAACCTTATTCGCTATATTCAGATCATCAAGTTGCTACAAGACTTGTTTACAAAGTAAATGCATTGGCTAGATATAAAAATCGTTTCCTTCAAAGGTAGACACCATTTCGAAATGTTTGTGTGAATCTTCCAAGTAAGGAAGCGCATGGGCATCTCCCCCGGCTTAGTCACCTGTACCTATAACTTTGGTGCAGTGAATCAGCTCGATCAGATGGTCAACCGCGCCCGAAATTTACTTCAAGCCCTGGGCGTCTTTACACAGCCGCAAACATTCTATCGCTGTTGTCATGTAAATCACTTGCTGTGCTCAACTTCACCCGGTGAATATACCTTTGCCCCGCTAACTACTTCTAATTTGCTGCCTTTCACATTTTTTAAACCGGGTACCTCTCCTACATCGTCGCTGTGAGTGTCAGTATTCAATTCTCGCCAATGCTTCTCACTGGAAACGTTTTCCCATATATTGAGGTTATGATGAACTTCATACCACATACTCACACTAATATTAACATAATCGGTTCTTGATAGGACTGTAAATATTCATAGCATTTACGGAACCAAATGTGTATTGACCTTGCTCCCTGATCGGAAATTCTTTCAAGTTCATGTGAACTCTTATGTCAGATTCCAACTTTTATCAAATTTCATTCCAATGGATGGGTGGCCCTGACTTCCATAAATTTCACATCTCTGCAGCATGACTTTGGAACAGTTTTTGTACTACTTCACCATTTCGTTAATATAAAAATAGTTCAAGAGTGAGCCCGCAGAAATGTGAATTGGAGGGAAGCCAATGCTGTTTTCTCGATGAAACGACTCCGAAGTAAAAGCCTACACGTTGGGTTGAACTCCATTACTGGAATGCACGGATGTTTTGCGGATAGAGATTAGGTGCAAAAGTTGATCCCCGAGAGCCTCTACTTCAGATATTACCCTGGGACCGAGTCTCGCATCGATAAAAATATTCGTCGACACCAACTAAGGTTTCTATCTTTACAGGGCCGATTACTTCGTGCTAGACTAGTAATGTTTATGTAGTTTCGGTACCGTGTTCACGATTTTCAAAAATTTTCACCATTAAGGTAATGCACTACTTTCGTGAGATCCAATCCTTTCTTCTTCGAAACCATGTATTCAACCTCTTCCAAGTGACAGTCAATGCATAACTGAAAGACAAACATGAGCCCATTTCAGTGCCGGTTCCGAACACTTCGTACGATTTCAGGAACTACTACCACCCGAGTGATCACCAGGCTTTGCATATCGATGAGCGACCGATAACGCTCGTCCCGTTCCCTCTTTTTTTTTGAAGTCATCGGACCAACGTGTGGCGTGGTTGCCGTGGCATTTCATTAAAGCACTGTCTAACGTTGCACACAGCAATTCATACTCCCGTTGCCTTTTGGGCACACTTCTGTAGCATCCGTAGGGACCGAGTAGGGACATAACAGTTTACTCGTAAGAGCCTATCAGATCTTACCTTTTCGGCTACCCTTCCATTTCGTCCTTTTCTCTGGAAACCTCGACGCTGCGGTAAATGGACTGCTGCTCTATCTTGTGCTAATAGCGATTTGTAAGTGAACTACCACTCTGAGATTAAAAGATTTCGAGTAAACTGACATCTTCAGCGGCTCAGTATGGACCTTTGCTTACCACCAATTGTTGTGTTCCTTTTGAAAATTCAAATAGTCGGAACCGTTCACTTTTAGTGATCGACTACTTTAAGTTAATCGTTGTTTGCCGTTTATTTATTCTTTACTCGATACGTGCATGGTTATATAAAGAAATCTGTTCCATTGTTTCCGCAATTCTAACTGAGGGAAACCTTCGTGAGGCTCACTTCTATAAGATTTTTCCTTGTTTAGAAGGTTCGTACCCCGATTACTACTATCCTGGAACTGATCCCATTTTGTGGTCCCATAGAGCTGATTACTTCATAAGAGGATGAAGTGGCTGTTCGAGTCTTTACCGAGTCATTGAAAGGGTCACACAAAGAACCTGGTTAACTTCAGAG